TTTTTTTTTTTTTTTTTTTTTTTTTTTTTTTTTTGTTTTTTTGTTTTTTGTTTTTTTTGTGGTCTTCAATTCTCGGCCACTTCAGCGGGAGTTCAGATTCAGGGTCCAACACGACCAACACCTCCTGCTCATCGGTCCATCCTCACTGCACGCCGTCGATCTGCAAGTGTGGGCGGGTTTTGATTCACAGCAATGTTGCTTTTGACAGCCAGCTAGGCCTTGTTCTCGCGGTACTGCTCCATGTCCTTGCCAGCGTTGGCGTGCTTGGCGAGCTCCTTGGACCATCCGGGCAGCGCACCGTATTTCTCGAGCAGTTCGGCGAGCTCGGCGCGTTGTTCCCTCAGGTTTCCAGGCAAGTCGCCGCGGTAGGTGCCTTCGAAGAGGCTGCTGAGTTGGGGGCGTTTCTTCTTCTCTGCGCGGCCCATCGCCTCGATGACGGTCTTGCGATGCTCGGCCTTGGTCTGCTCCTCGAGCGCATCGTTCCACCAGCCGCGGTCGGTGAGGAAGTTGCGCATGCGGTGGAGCGGGTTGTCCATCTGCTTCCAGCTCTCCACCGCCTGCTTGCTGCGGTAGGCCGACGAGTCGTCCGAGGTCGAGTGGTGCCCCACGCGGTACGTCATTGCCTCAATCAGCACCGGTCGCTGCTCCGAGATCGCCTTGGCCTTGGCGGCTTGTACCGCCGAACGCACTGCGAGGGCATCGTTACCGTCGACCCGGATGGTGAGCATCCCGTAACCGGGCCCGCGAGACGCAATACCGTCGCCACGGAACTGCTCGGCTGCCGGCGTTGAAATCGCGTACCCGTTGTTCCTCACAAAGAAGATCACGGGGCTTTTGGTGGTGCTTGCAAGGTTCATACCAGCGTGGAAGTCGCCTTCGCTCGCAGCGCCTTCACCAAAGTAGCAGACCACCACGTTGTTCTCCCTGCCCTTGGTCCTCTTGAGCGCATAACCCGCACCTGCCGCCTGGGGGATCTGCGTAGCGAGCGGACTGCTGATGGTGTGGAAGTGGTGCTGGGTGCTTCCAAAGTGGATGGGCATCTGTCGGCCGCCGCACAGATCGTCTTCGGCACCAAACACCTGCGACATGTAGTGGTCGATGGAAAACTCGCGCCACAGCAGTACACCGGACTCTCTGTACTGTGCAAACACCTCGTCCTTGGTATCGAGACCCGCGGCGCTACCGATCACAGCGCCCTCTTCGCCGTACGAGGTCATCATGAACGAGATTCGTCCCTGACGCTGGGCGTTGTACAGAATCACGTCGATCTGGGGCAAGAGCAGCATGGTTCGGTACATCTTGACCGCCTCCTGTTCGGTGATGTCGACCATCTCGTCGGTAACGCCGGGGAGGAGGCGACCGACGCCGTCCATGAGCCGAAAGGTGGGGATGCCGCCCTGGGCGTTCGAGTTGCCCGAGAGCTGCTTGGGCTTGACGCGGTCGAAGAAGCTGTCATTGAGCGAGGTGAGGAATACCGACGACGGATGGCCGGGCAGATGGCCCTGGGGCTCATCGCCGTCCTTGCGTGTGAGCGCCGTGCTGGCGAAGGTGCGTGTGAGCATCGTGGAGCCACTGGCGCTGGGCGTGCGCACGGCATGGCACACCTGACGCCCGAATCGCAGCTGGCGTGCAGCACGTGAAGTCGTCGAAGCAACCATGCTGAATTGCTGACAGCAGTAGCGATGATTGCAGACAGAGATGGTGGGCAAAGAGGCAGGTGCAAGGCGGAAAGGCTCTTCGGCCGCCTGTCTCGGTCTGGGCAAGGGTCGTTCTCCGTTTACCCCACACACACCCGTACGCCAAAAGAGGTGCTGCGACCCGCGTTCGGTGCTCCGTCCGCCCTAAAGCCGATGCGCCGCCAATCTTGCACCGTCGGCCTTGACGGTCTGCCCAATTTCAGAAACCAAAACTGTTAGCGGACGAAGTCGAACACTTTGGAAGCGGCGAAAATTGGTCGCGTGTTGTTCTCGAACTGCCAGCGAGGAAAGGGCGGCGCGCGGGTCTCAGAGATGCAGCAAGGGCGGGTAAGCGAAGCTGAGGCGAAAACGCAAGGTACCGCCCGAGACCCGGCCAGTGTGAGAGGGAGACCTGAGCCATGAGCTATGAGCCATGAGCCATTGGTGAGGCTTGGTAGCGTGCAATGGCGAGAGGAATGAGCGACGAGTGGCAGCTGCACGTGAGCGTCCAGACTTGCTTCCACGCCTTCTTTTCATGGCGCTTGGGTCGTCGGTATGAGCAACGACATGCGAGCTAGCAGCGATCGACCGTCGGTTGGGTGGCCGGCGAACGATCTGCAATTTACACGTTGACTCCTTCGTGTCGGTGGCTCAGAGAGAGAGAGAGAAAGAGAGAGAGAGAAGCGCGCTGGCTGGCATGGGTGGCTGCATGTCTGCATGCATAGCGTGCATGCGTGTCTGGCGCGGCGTCGAGGCAGAGAGAGAGAGAGAGAGAGAGAGA